GAGAAAAGATAACAAATCTTTGTCATAAATAACATGCTCTAGTTAGAACAAAGACTATTTATATGTTTAAAGCAATGAACAACAATATATGTCGTCTATTGTAATCTGCTTGGAGCATGTCTGTAATAAACTCAAATGGATGCATTAACTTAAATATCAGAGTAATTAATTTTGTTTCTTCTACTAGCATAACTTGAATCATTCTGAAACTGAACCTTATCCATTCTGAATCACATACATCAAGGCTATTACATCCTGGTTGCTTATTAATGAATTCTTTCCACAAACAACTTCATAAACGCTCTTAAATGATAACGTTTAAATTTCAAAGGACCTGGGCCCCCTTTCCAGCTCTATAATTCATTAACGTAGTAAACATATTAAACTGATCCATTACTATATACCCATACTGGTACATGCAAAACTTATCACAGCTTATCACTTATACTGTAACCCAACTGGTAAATATGAACTAAACTAAATGATTACCCCACTGTGCATCTTGCACTTTCTCCAATGAAACATTAATAATTCAACACATGTGCCACAGCGAACAAGTCCAAGAAAAATATTACGTTGCTGCACAAGCGGAACATCTAAGCCCCAGTGCGTGCAAAAGTGTAGCGAAGCACATGTGCCACACAACACAACAACACGGTCCCTTATCCAACCTAATTTACATAAATTAACATATTGACTGCGATTATACTGTAAACTAAAAAAATAATCTATTGCCAATCAATTACTGAATTAAACACCAATCTTACAAATCACTGCCAAACTCACAAGTCCTCTCTCCTATAAAGTCTCTCCTGTCTCATGCCCATAGAGCTCTAAAATAATCACGTATGACACAGTGTAAGTCCAGTCCAGCTCTGCTTCAGTTTTATTATCTGAGGCTGTACATGCGCTTCATGCAGATTATATTTAAATATAGCGAAATAGGATTTAAGAATATTCATAAGAAAAAGGAGAAGAGAACCATTGATAAGTAAGAAGTGGAAATATGCAAATGAGAAGAGAACATACCACCTGTTCTAGCTTCTTTTTTTTTAGTCTTGGCATACTATCTTATCAATCGTACAATGTATATATTATAAACAATATAAATGCTTCTTGAAGCATACTGAATCATTAACCATAACTGTTTGATCATATGCACTCTGTTCACTCCTTGGTCCAACCCCCTCTGCTTAATAGCACACACATTGTAATGTAACCCTGCTAATGCAATGCGATGAGCCACATAGCAACACATAGCCTTCTGTACATAACGTTGCGTTAATCATCCACAATCAGCTCACTGTTTGCACATAATTCACAGGAAATAAACAATCGTATGAAACAACTAGTTTCCTATATTTGACAGTAAATCAATTATCTACAGGAATCATGTATCATAGCTTATCAACTATTTGTTCATCCGGAGCAAAGTCATGAATTCTGTGGTAACAAACATCAAGTCTGATGCCTTTGACTAGGCTTTCTGTTGCAAAAATTTTCTTAACGCCACCGATGGCGCTATACAAGTTTCATGCCGCTACAAGAGCCCTTGAGCTTCATCCTCGCTCCAATGAAATGGGCTCTGGTACGATATGATGTAAACTTTACAATGATAGACGGATCTGGCTTGTCACCATCAGCTGGCTTGGTACCCGGTCCAAGGCGATGGGTGCAGTCAATGTCAGCTTGGGTCAGTTTATTTGGGGAGCCCGCAGAAAACCCGTCCTTTCCTCCCCTCCCCTCATTTATTTTTGCAGTAACATGTTCATCTTCAACTGTTTCTTTGCTTCTCCCAAGGGCATCACAAACTATCTTTCAAACATGTATGGCAATTCTAAAGGCAAACCATACCTTCGTAAAAAAAAGCACTGAAGTTCATCTCCACATTACATTTTTTCACAATCTGTGTGATTATCGTACGTGAAAGGCCGCAAGCAATGTCTGGTCCGCAGTAGATGGATTCTGAATCACTGGAAAGTAGCTTTTCTCTGTAGTCCTTGAGGCTCCAAAGACCTCCTTAATAACGCTCCTTCGACACTTATCACCTGCAAGGAAATCCTTCTTCGATGCCGATGATGCTCTGCCGGGAGTATCTCCTGGGAAGCAAACCGTTACAGCCACACTCTGTTCCCCATCAGGACCCGCCCATCCACTTATATCTGGATGTAATCATTAAGATCTCTTGTTCGGCCACACAAAATATACGCTTGATTGGGCCTAGAAATAGACGATTCTCATTCGCTTGCAGTTTCAGTCATTTCGATGGGATCTATGCCATCCCTGAGTTCATCTGGCAGTGCCTGCAGGACCAGCTTGTACAGTTTGTGTGGTGGCACAAAGCCTCCTCCACCTGTGATAGTTGAGAGAAATGCATGTACATGTATATCAAGTAGTTTTTATGTGATACAATGTTGATCTTATCAAAATGCAAATGTAAAATGTCCCGGAGGGCTCCTGATCACGGAAGAAGTCCAACATTTTTTCCCTCATATCTCAGAAGATGTCTTCTGTCTGCAGCTGATCTCTATTCTTTTAAGTTCCCTTTGCACCCACTTGTATCGCTAACATGGATCATACAACAGACATAGACATTTTGCATGAGAAGACATTCCATGGATCAGTCAATTAACTTGTTTCAAAATTAAAAGGAATATGTACTTTTATAAATAAGAATTTAAAAAATTCCCAGAATGATAGTCTAATAAAAGTTAGTGCATGGTGGTTTCTCATCTTTATACTTCCTTATATTTCTTGTCACTTCCCCACTAGAGCCTTTCTCCTTCAACAGTCTGATTTTATTTGTCTAATTTTTTGATAACTTTGTGTTGTACATGTTGCAAAATAAATTAAGAGAAACCTACCAGTTCCATGCAATTGCTGCCTCCTTTGCGTTGCGTATTTCTTTGCCATGGAGGCCAAGTCCTGCCACTTTTTTCTCAGCTTCGTCCAGGACCTGTCTGGGTGACCCCCTGCTGCCAATTGGTTTCTTTCCACATATTTAAAAGCCAAATTCGGAATCATCAATATCATTACATACATATTACGAACCCTTGATTATTAATAAGTAAAAAACTAGTCTAATGATCTCACTGAAAAAAAATCCTATAAAACAGACATGATATAGGAAAGTTCGGTTATCAAATGGCAAGTTGTTCCGGCACTTCCATTATTTATTGAATCCGACGTAAACCGCAGGCTCTTCAGGAAATTCCAGTCTTATTCTTGTCGTTGCACATGCTGGCACAACCCTCCGGACTCCTTTAACAGTAAATTATTCCAATCTGGACAAAAAAAGCATATTATGGACTGCCAATTTCACATATTTTCTTTATTTTTCCAATATAATTGATGCCTTATGTTTATCAAAAAGCTAAAGATAACTTGCAAAAAATGTGTAATTGTTAATATCAGGTGGAAAGAAAGGTTTACAAAAATAATGAATCAAGCTTCTTTTCATTAACACATGTCAACACTCTCTGCAAACTCTAACTTAGTCACTGTTTTCAGAGCATTAAATTGAACTGCATTACACAACTGATTCCAATTAAATAAAACCAATGAATATTCATTGGTATCCTTTATTTGTCCATCAATATATGTTACATGTACATGTATACTGTATCAAAATTCAAATACATATATATTGATTAATTCAATGAATTAATGTAAGTTTATACATGACACTTGTTATCTGAATCGTATAAGTTTATACATGACACTTGTTCTCTAAAGCGTATAAGTTTATACATGACACTTGTTCTCTGAATCGTATAAATTTATACATGACACTTGTTCTCTAAAGCGTATAAGTTTATACATGACACTTGTTCTCTAAAGCGTATAAATTTATACATGACACTTGTTCTCTAAAGCGTATAAATTTATACATGACACTTGTTCTCTGAATCGTATAAATTTATACATGACACTTGTTCTCTAAAGCGTATAAATTTATTCATGACACTTGTTCTCTGAATCGTATAAATTTATACTTGACACTTGTTCTCTAAAGCGTATAAGTTTATACATGGCACTTCTTCTCGAAAGTGTATAAGTTTATACCAGACACTTGTTCTCTGAATCGTATAAGTTTATACATGACACCTGTTCTCTGAATCGTATAAATTTATACATGACACTTGTTCTCTAAAGCGTATAAATTTATACATGACACTTGTTCTCTGAATCGTATAAATTTATACATGACACTTGTTCTCTAAAGCGTATAAGTTTATACATAACACTTGTTCTCTGAATCGTATAAATTTATACATGACACTTGTTCTCTGAATCGTATAAATTTATACATGACACTTGTTCTCTAAAGCGTATAAGTTTATACATAACACTTGTTCTCTGAATCGTATAAATTTATACATGTCACTTGTTCTCTAAAGCGTATAAATTTATACATGACACTTGTTCTCTGAATCGTATAGATTTATACGAGACACTTGTTCTCTAAAGCGTATAAGTTTATTCATGACACTTATTCTCTGAATCGTATAAATTTATACATGACACTTGTTATCTGAATCGTATAAGTTTATACATGACACTTGTTCTCTAAAGCGTATAAGTTTATACAAGGCACTTCTTCTCTAAAGCGTATAAGTTTATACATGACACTTGTTCTCTAAAGCGTATAAGTTTATACATGGCACTTCTTCTCTAAATTGTATAAGTTTATACATGACACTTGTTCTCTGAATCGTATAAGTTTTTACCAGACAGGAGATGTACCACTGGTATGAATTTGGCGATCCTACTTCAAAGCTGTGGAAAGTTATTGTGTGTATACAGCTTTGTATGTTAAGTTCAATGACCTTTTAACCTTTGAACTTTGTTGAACACGAGTGACCCATATTCAAACTTGACCCGAGTCTACAAGAGATGTACCACTGGTGTGAATTTGGCAATCCTTGATCAAAACTATGGAAAGTTATTGTGTGTACTATGCTTTTAATAAAAAGTTCATAGACTTTTTGACAGTGCCGTAAAAACTGGAAAACAACAACAACAACTTTTGACCTTTCACCTTTGTCGGATATCGCCCATATTCAAACTTGATCTGAGTCTTCAAGAGATGTACCACTGGTATGAATTTCACGATTCTACTTCAAAGCTGTGGAGAGTTATTGTGTGTACAGCATAAGTACAGCTTTGTATATTAAGTTCATTGACCTTTTGACCTTTGAACTTTGTCGACCATGACCCATATTCGAACTTGACCTGAGTCTTCAAGAAATGTACCACTGGTAAGAATTTGGTGATCCTAGCTCGAAGATATAGAAAGTTATTGGGTGTACAACATAATTGTTGACGCCGACACCGCCGGTGTAAAAAGTGACGCCTATGCCTGGCTCCTGCTACGCAGGCGAGACAAAAAGGACATGAAACCATTTTAACGGATATCAACCGATGCCAAAAAACGACATCCGTTCCTCAAGTGTGACAGCCGCATGACGGATTAAACAAAAGTACCATCCGTTACTTGTACATTTTCTGATCCGGCCATGTCTGGCAGCGGAATAAGCTTGTAAGTTTTCAATTCAAAATATTACAGTAATATTAAAAAAGATAAAATTACATCTGTTTAAATCATATAGATTGTAAATCTCATGCAACTAAGATTTGTACTAAGGACCCTCTGGTGAAATTAAAAAGCTCCTCCACTTGTGCTTCACAGCCCCCACCCCCAAAAAATATTACTCCAATTTTATTGAAACCAATAGGCCTACTATTTTGCTCAATTATTTGATAGCTAAGGCAATTACAATGGCCCAATTAAGCTAGGATCTACAAAGCTACTGAAAATAGCTACTGTGCTTCTCTCTCAAACCATTCACTGTTTGAAGAGGAAGTTTTTTCCAGCAGTCAGTGAGAAAGGAGGGAGAATCACAGAACTAGAATCAATAGTCTCAACCCAAAGCTGTTTCCTGCCCTTTTGTCCTTTGACTGGTACCTTTACCTCCTTCCACTTAGAAGTCAAGGTTCCTGTGTACCACTCGATCTGTAGGGACTTGTCTTCATGTACACTGCGAATGCAGCCAACTTGAGGCCAGTGTGTCGAGTACTCTGGGAGATATGTTGCCACCATGTCTCTCTCCCTAACTTCTGTCCTCTGTTCCTTTACTTTGGGTCCTATGTGAACCTAACAAAAAGAAAAAGAAAGTAAAATAAATAAAATAAGAAAGTGAATTGAAAACGAATAGTGTAGTGCCACTACATACATTATCAGTGATTCAAGACAATTCCTTATGTACACTTTATTTACAACATATAAACATATTATTATAGTAATTCTTTCTGAAACCTAATAAATAATTTTCTTTTATAAAATCAGAAAATATTGTTGAAACTTCTACTATTTTTGTATTTTTTGATTTTCAATTAACCCTAAAAGGGCTGTACGTTCACCGGGATATGTTTAAGGATATTTTTTTTTTGTGCCGGGAGCTTTCATGACTTTATAGCATAGAGTCTTGCGCATCTTTTGATGCCAAATATAAAAAGTTTTGACCATCGGGTAACGTGCAAATTGACGATTTTCCCATTGTCTGTGTATTGTAGCAATTCAATGCAGAAATGCAGATGTGCGATACCTACGATTACGTAAATGCAGATAACTACAATTTTTTGAGGTGCTCACATTGATGTTTAAGAAAAAAAACAAAACAAGAAACAACAAAAACAACAAAAATTTGGGAAGACTTTTGCAACTAATGCACAAGCGTATAGCAATCACTAGTACCCAAAGCTAATCTTTACCTGACATGACCTGACCCCAAAATACTCGGCATGACTTGTAATTACTGTAATGACTGGAATTATGCAAGGGCTTACATGTATATATATTAGGGGCTAGATCTTGTGTGAAGACTATACAGAGTGTAAATTCTGTTAGGGAATAATGTTGCACTCAAGATGCAATTAAGCTGAGTGTGTTAGTCATGCAGCATTGTAGATGATTTACATTTTTTTTTTTTAGAAAGCAACTCAAGTTGTAAATAACGATTAAAATACATTTAATACTAAATATGGTTCACAATATCTTTGTCTTAATTAAGGGACATATTAATGAAACATGTACCTGTCTGAATGTTTCATCCTCTGTGTTGCAAGCATGCTCCTCAAGCTGTGGTCTGTCAGTTGGTTGTTTGGCCATTATCAGTAGATCGCATATAGGCCATCTCACTGTTGAATCTTCTGTTAAAACACACAAAGGAAATGTATTATAGCCCTGATGTAAGAAACAGTGTGCTAAAATATCAAAGTTTATGATCAGCCAGCTAGATAGGTTGTTATTACCTTCATCCAGTTATATAAACATATAGTGGCAAATTCTTGGAATAATAATCGTTTTATCTAATGATACTATGACCTAATCTCTTGAAAGGTCATATATATATTTTTTTAAAACCCTATATAGCCCGGGCTATGCAGTGTCAAAGGGGGGGGGGGGGGTGCTAATTTAGCCCCCCCCCCCCCCGAGATCTCGCCCCTCAACTGCCTGATCGTGATGAAATCGTCACCTGCAACATAATCTCCAAAATCGTATATTAATCTCTCTGAAAAATATTTTGTTTAATCGATTATGCTAATTATGCTAATTTAAGCATGAAATTAGACCTTTTTTGCTCTAAATCACTCAAAACAGCTCGAAATGTGCTGTTCTTTTGATCTAGACACTCTATGTATTATTCTTAACAAGCGTACTTTAAAAAAAAATCCAGTATCAAAATTAAGTTATGTATTTCATTGTTTTTTTAATTTCTCTGTTTTTCGACCTTTTCATTTTTATTGTTTTTTCAATGAAATTTGTTGGCAACACTTATGCGATCATAACTAGCATAAACGAAATAGATTTCAATCTGTGAAAGCAGATATAATAATACATTTAAAAATATTAGCTAATACACAATTTGTATTGAAATTCTACAAGAAACCACGTTTTTGAGCTATTTTGGGTCCGATGTGCAAGTACATGTACAAAATTATGTGTAGCATAGGAACTGCATGCCCGGGCGTTGTTGCGCGAGATGTGAAGGAAAAAAGTCATGAAATTTCAGCGCAGAATGTCTTCGCTTTAAATAGTTATTGTGAAAAATGTTTTAAGGGGGGGCCAAATTAGTCCCCCTTCCCCCCCCCCCACCCCCCACCCCCCCCCCCCCCCCCCTCATCCAGGCTATAGGGTTAAATCTCGAAAAATAGCAATACCATAATATCTATCTCTAAAAAAAAAAAATTTTAAAGAATGAGTGGAGAAAAACTCAAAAATATCCTCTCAGGTTTATCTATGCTGCTGACTCAGCTGCTCCCTTGTGAGAGGCAATCAAATATCATAAATTGGCGCGTAATTTGCTGGCTCTCTGTAAAACAGCCATTCCTCTTTTTTCTATAGACCACCATCCATTTGATTTGTAGTCGATGGTTATATGCATTAGATAAACCAATATTTTTGTGTCCCACTAGCCTAGTTCGCTATTAAGATTTTTTTGTGAATTGTGCCATGAAGGGGTGTAACAGTCAAGACTTCAATACAAATTGTCAAAGTTTTGGGCCATAAAGCTTGAAGATGCTACATTGTATTTTTCAATGTTTCATAGGTGATGGAAAAAAATACCATAACACCATCAATTTTGGAAGTTTAAAAAATGACAGAAATGATACCTTCATTCTCCTCCTCTTCCAAGGTGAGTAGCTCATAGAGGGACCTCCATGCCTCAATGTCTACTTCTTCCAAGTATGGCTGGAGCTTGTCTGGTAGATGTATGATATTGATGTCCGCAAATGACTTCTCTACCAATGTTGGTTGTCCGTCTGGATGTGATGACAGGATGTGGTTGATGCCAGTGGTGTCTCTCCAATGTGGTGTAGTTGACCAGTCTTTTGTTTGTAGGGTGGCTTTTCCTTGGTGCAGTGCGAATTTGAATATGTGTGGTTTACTGTGATAGCACATGCTGTGTTGATGGGGAAGAAGCCATTTGCGAACATCAAAGAGGTGTAAGATGCGCTCCGCTGTTGTAGGGCAGTGAGCTTTGTGGAAAGCGGCGGGAATAGCTTGCAGAAGTTTTGGAAAAGATGGGGTGCTCCTTTTCTTCAAGTGAGTTGCAATCCTTGAAAAGAACTGGTCGATGTCCTCATGTGTGTGACCGACCATCAAGAAGCCAACTTTGATCTAAATGCAAACAATAAACGTTATAAGGTGAACAACAGTATGGAATAAATTGAATTTTAGGGACATTCCTCAATGATACAACCCAATAAGCATGAGGGATAATTTATTCAATTGAAATTTTTCTTCATTTATCAGAACATTTATCTAACAAAAAACATATTTATCAAAGCTTGTTTTTGTTTACGCTTTACAAATCATATGTACACTGATGACAAAGATGACAACTTTATATTGCCCATGGTTTCTAATGTGCACTACCTCTTTCCCGTTCATAGGGTTCAATCTTTCCGAGAATAATAGGCTACGACCAACAACAAAAAACCCAAAACACTATTTACCATTGGTATACATGTATCTGTGTAAAGTAAATAATTCTAAGTCACAATATCTTTTTTTAACCCTATGATGCCTACACATATCAGACATTTTGGGCAGTAAATGTATTTGATAGATTAAAACAGAGGATCAACTGAAGATATGCAACAATACAATAGTGCAAAATCCCCCATCATAAAAAGTGAGTCAGAAATAATGATTCACCTTGGAAATTTGCCATGGTGAAAATAATTTGTAATCATGAATATTTTCTCTTTTTTTTCACACTCTTTCTGCATCGTTGTTCTCTCCTGCTCACACTACAACTTCGAGAGAGTGGGTTTGACCCACTTTCAAACGCTGTTTCATGAATAGATGCCCAACAGCAATGGTACTGCATGCAGCGGGAAAGTGTACTCTACCAGTACATGTCAAACATTTTTATATTTACATATCCCTTCACAAAATATGTACTTTTAAACCCAAGGTTTTGGTGCAATTGGGTTTTTACCAAGTTACTTTAATTTACTGTCAACTGTGAATAGTTTTCTGACAAAAGTGAATATTTATAATGTTTATTCTCAAACAATGGGCAATTTCCGAGGTATATCATTATTTCTGACTCGTCCTTTACATGATTCTGAAAAGAACCTCCAAGACAAAGGCATTCTCTTATCCATCCAATACAAGTTCAAATAAACAAAATTTCCTTTTCATTTTGCGATTAAATAAAGCATCATTACAGACTGAATACTTATATTGACAATTAATTACTAAAAAGAACATGTATTAAACATTACCTTCTTGAAGATATTGAGTTCAAGGAGCAGGGACAGAAAAGAAAAGAGATGTCGATTCTTATTCTCCCTAGAAGTGTTGTCCAGCTGTAGGTAGAGGACTGGTGGAAGAGAGTCGGCATAACGGACCAGGATGTTGAGCAGGATATTAATGGTTAGGTTGCTGTCATGTGGGTACTCGTTAAAATCGATGTAGGCGTGTTGACCTCTTCCATGAACAAGTGCACCGGTGATGTGAGTGTGCAGTTGATCATTGTAGCTCAGAGCTTTAGGTGTTGGATGGAGTTGCGGTATTGATGTGCAGTGCTGATCCATCCCATCGATGATTACACTCATGTATTTCTCTGGCTGTGACTTCGCTTTGCGGATGTGTTTGTAATATTTTTGTCTCTCACTGCTGCTGAAAAGAAGGTAAAGAGCAATGAGGAGTCATGCTATGCTTAGAAGTTTTGATCACAAAACCAATACTAATGCCTTAAATACACGAGTAAATTGTAATTTGAATGTGTTATCTGAGACTTGGCTAGGTTTACGTCTATATCAATGATACTTAATTGTGACCAATATACTTTTTTAAAGTAATGAACTTGTGCCTACATTTCTTCTCCTGTTTTCCCTACTATTGTATTTTTCTTCTACTATAGGCTTTTCACGTCAAATATCCACTGATTAGAACCAAACATCCGTATAGGCAGTTCAAATGCCAATATTTTATTGTGGTCACCTATTCAAATATATTAACATTGTTGTTGTTTTTTTCCATTAAGAATTTCATTACTCTCTTATTGCTAATATTTGTTGTCCAATTTTTTAATTTGTTCTGTTATTTTTCTCCAATTTTGCCGCTTCTATTTAAAGCAACTTATCTTGGAGCCTGAGTATTCCTCTAAGCTTTCTCGGTTTTTGTCTCCTTCAAAATCTTTGTTGAAATATTCACTTCTATGAGGAAAGCATATAATGACATAGCTCTAGTTGTATATTGTAGCTACATGTAAAATACATCCATGGTTGTCATTTGTTGCACTTAAAATACTGGATCACAGATCACCTCATTCTAAATGCTTAAAAGAAAAAAAAGTACATCAAAATCAATTACAACATTAACTTCAAGCTTTAATCAAAGTTTGCTGTACCTTTGTTTCTCTACATGTTTTTGATGTTGTGCAATCAATTGTCTTCGAACATCTTTTTCGTTTGTCTTGCCAAGCTTCATTTTCAGCTCTGTGCACACATCGCACTTAGAGAAGCGGTTCACCTATAAAGAAAAAAAGAAAAATATCAAAGAGAAGGATTGTTAATTACAAAATTAATGTTATGGATGTGTTTTCTTGATGCATATAAATGTAGATGTTATAAGACTAATATAATAATATATTGACACAAAGATACAAGAGGCCTCAGGAATTTAACAGATTTCGTCTGGCTAAGAATCATAAATTCATCTATGTCTAACCCTAACTGTACCGGGGGTATAATTTGCATAAATTAGCATTATTGATAAAATAAGCAAATTTCCGCGAAACTAATGGCAAAATCTCTGCATAATTTTGTGGCGATTGGCCCATTTGGAGTGCATTAAAACTGCAATATGTTTTGTACAAAAAAACTGACCTGAAATCATGATGGGTCATATGACACTATAAAAGAATTGTCTGTTTTTGCAAAAACTTACGGTAGTGTAGTGTCAAAATAAAAAGTAATGAAGTGGCATTGCTGAAAACATGGCGGTTTTGATTATGGTATGCAACAACCTATGTTTAGAGCTTTTGAGCGTCCCGCCCCACTCACTCCCATCCAGTACAGTTTAGGGTCAATGGAATTTACAATACCTTGGGGATTGTGATGTGCTGCTCTTCCTTTCTCCAAATCCTTTTGAAGTGAGTCTCAGAACAAACCTCAGCATTATCTTGTCGTATTCTTCTATACACCTCTCGCTTTGTGAACCCATGTGGAAGGTTTACAGACTCTCTGTCAGGCATTCGGTCTCCATAGGAACGAGCAAATGCATTAAGTTCTGTCTTCGCGTTTAGGGTTTTGTTAATCTTGTGTCCTTTCCTCAAGCAGTTAGCAGGCAATGGGTATAGCAGTCCATCTATTCACAACAAATTAAATGCATGCATGGAAATAACTAGAAATATCGAAAATGGCTGATCACCACAAAACTCGGCATGCGCCTCAGATATTGCGCAAAGGAAGAGACCTTACCTATATTTTTGGCTGAAAATTGCTTACTTTGTCATTTATGCAAATTCTATTCATGAATATGTTTTTTATTATGAATTACATAAATAAATAATAATAATACCAGTCTCTTATAAAGCGCTTTACGAGTTAAGACCAAAGCGCTCACAGCATATTATTGCCCCAGTCATTGGATTCAATTACAAAAAAAAAACAGCATTTACAGTGCACAATCTCCTCTCCCTGGGGAGCATTCCAGCTGGTCACCTATTAGGCGCACACAATGCCAATTCAACTGCATTGCGTTCGCATCCTACAGGGTACCCATTTTAACACCTGGGTAAGGTGAAGCAATGTAGACAAAGTGCCTTGCTCAAGGAACATAAATGCTGTGCTGCTTTTACAGAGTTTATTTTTTGGCAAAAAGTTTCTTAAAAGCCTATTTGACATTATCATATAATTGAATTGTCCATATACTTGTTTTATAATAATAATAATATAATAACGGCCATTTGTACTGCGCCATGTCTGTCAGATTTGACACTGGGCGCCCCATTATGAATTTCTAATGTATTTTACTGTTTTTCAATTCTTATGTATTTTATTGTTTTAGGACTTCTTATACTTAAGATCATTATCTGGATCAATTTACAGTTTGAGTAAATGATAAATCTAGTCTAAAGAATGAAACATTACTGATTCATAGACCCAAACAAGAAACTTCACTTTGCCATTTGTTTGGTAGACAAGATGACAAAAATTTCAATTTTCGGCTTGACCTTTGGTCACAAAAGGTCAGGTAACTCTCTAGCATTCGCATCCTACTGATTTCCAAAAACAGCAAATAGCGGTTACAGCACAATCCCCGAAAATGCAGGGGTGGGCTGATGCCCCCCACCCCCCAGTACAGTAAGTGTTAAAGCTACATAAGAGTAATGAAAGATAATGCAGCTGTCGTACACGAAAACCCCTCACAAAAAGTTCTGCAATTCAAGTTTGAGAAAGGGTATCTCTCGTTGTATTAAATGATTAAATGATACTTCAGTTTGGCACCATTGGAAAGCCTGTTCATTCCCCTAGACAATGATGCCCAATTTTTATAATGTAATCATGGAATATGCAGGACACCTGAATATCTGACCAAGTAGAAAGTCAAATCTTGCAAAATGCATTTTTGTCAACAGTGAATTCTTCATTTGTTTAGAGATAAGATTGTGTTTAATTGATATCAATTCTGATTGAATGCCAATGCAGTATTCTCATATTCTTCTGAAGATGAACTTATTTCAAATGATTTTGAGATATCAAAACAAGAAATTTTACCTATAATTTTGTGAGAGGTTTATATCATACAAATGAGCCAGGAAAAAAGAGTTTTAGCCAAACCAATAAGAATGACCAACAGTCACTCTGTATTTCAAGTTTAACTACCTGCAAGCTTTCTATAAACAAAAAAGGACAATAATACGTTGGATGAATATGGGAGATTCTTTTAGGGTTCATGTACATTTTTTGCCCAGTACATTATGTACAAAGGCCATGAATTTTCAAAGAAACTGTTTTGAAATATGAACCTCACCTCTGAACTGCTTCTGCCAGTAGTAGAATCTTGACCTCACAATTCCAACGACTTGATGCCAGGCTGTGGCACACACCTGCTCCAAACCGATGTTGTAGGAGAATTGGAGACTTTCATTTTCAGACCGAGAAGAGTGGGTTCTGAAGTACTCCATCAGCCATGTCCTCTGATCACCCAGCGACTTTTCCTTAAAAGCGATCCGAGCTGCAGCTGCATCTGCTCGTGTGACTCTTGCCAGACAATCTGTTGAACAACATCTTCCTGCAAGGACAGTTATAAATGTCTGATGACCAGTTCTAACTGCAAAAGGGGAAGTAAAAAACAAAGCAGTTACGTCTCCATTGTTGTAAACAGGCATGAAAGCCTACAAGAATAACCAAATCTTTGTGCGGCATAGCCAGCTTATGTACATGTATGAATGGAATGAAGTAAAATTCTCAAAATTTATTCAAGTTGCAACTTCTGAAGGACTTTACTTGCTTTGAAGTACAATATAATTTGGATCGCCATGCAAAATTGAAATATCCCGTTGTCAAATCCACTTGTTACCATTTACCTACAGAAGTCTTTGGCGATTGCCATGGTAACATTTTCTAAATAATATCATACATGTACTTACATGGTTCATTAAAAAACTGCCGTCTACTATAATAAAGGGCCGTTCTCATAAGAGCAGGTAAACCTCCTCAACATTTGCCCCCGCGGTAAATGAGAAAACGATGCAGTAATAAACCTATCAGACTGTTCACATACGAAGAAGCATCTCCTCCAATCAAAACCTAAGCAATTTTTATTTTGGTTCCTGGAGGCAAAAATATTTGACCAATCACATGCCAGGAAAATGGGATGTTGCATTGTTGCGATGCGTATTGCTCATCTTGATTGCCCGGTTTACACTAAGTACGTAAATAATTTGTAGCTTGCAAACCGATATGATCTGAAACAGAATGGAGAAGAATACAAAAATTGTTCAATACAATTCATTACTATATAGTTCTAGCTTAGCTATTTTAGCATAGTTTGCAGCAACAGTATACCACATAGATATTTGAATAGGGCTGGTAGTGCTTTAATGCGTGATTGGCAATCATTTAGACCATCTTGATTAATTTTCAAGTAAACTTGAAATAGGCTCTAATGTAGTTTCGCACCGCCTTGTATAAGGATTTTCAAACATGTACAAATTCACCCTAAATACAGTACACATTAAGCTACGCACGCCGTAATGCGCGATGCGACGCGTTGTATGCTCTCGATTTTGGGGATAGATGAGAAAACAACAAGTCTATCGAAATTATTGCTAAAAATTCGGAGAAAAATCATTAATTTCTTGTATTTTCATCGTTTCATGAATTCATCAAGAGTATGCATCATTGAGGCAGACAGTGAAAACTTACATTCATTTACTGTATTAAACTGCTGTGCGTAGCTTAATGTACCATTTGATTTGGTCAAAGGGTGAATATTCACCAACAATTTCTGTCGTAGTTTTCTCAATAAATAATCCTCAGAATATATAGCATCTAATAGAGGTAAGAAACTTTAATCAAAATACTGAATTATATAGCCTTTGAAAACAAAGTGCGTAGCTTAAGGGGAACCCCCTTCATACTCTCTTTCTCCAGTCACTCAGAGACACTCTGTCACTGAGTTGCAAAGTGAATAATGCCCTGCCACTCATTTTCAACCAATGCAGTGACGACCACAGTGAATTATTATTAACAGATAGTGAACTTACATATTCTCCAATTCTCCTGGAACATGGCGCCGATGACCCCTTATATCCCGTCGAGCAATGTGGAATACTCGAAGAACTGCTACTGTCAGGCAAACTTCACCAAATTCTCGAGCGACAATAACGCATCCTTCCGGCTGCAGCTCTCGGCAGCACAAACACTCGACAACCGTCGGCATCACCGCGCAGTTCCCGCACAGACACCGCACAGACACCAATCGTTGTTCTCCCTCCTGTCTGGGGCTGGCAATGGGTCGGGAGCATCTTCTCGGACGACGTCAACTTCTTGATCAATTGCTGCTCGCCTCTCCTCCATTTCTGCCAATTCAGCTTCGCTGTATTCTGGATCAAACTCATAGCACACTGGTTCAGACGATGACATGTCGATCGTATATTGAAGAAAGTTGTGAAATTCGCGATATTCTTAGTAAGATAGTAAGAAGCTATCTGGATTTTCCGTAGATACAGAAAGCCGAAAGTTGTTTACAAATGTACGATGCACGCACATACACGTGCGCATTTGACGACGAAACCAATTTAAAAATTACACAAGTTTTGTTTTGTAGACTCTTTTTAAAATTTATTGCAACAGTTTTGTGAACGTTAATAAATACAAGTTTATTTAATAATTATTTTTAAATTACATATAAGTTTAACAGTGAAAAACAAAATGCTATTAAGCATCTTACAGATCAATATTCCTGTACAAATTCACCGACCAATCAGAATACAATAACGGCCAGCTCGCAAGATACGTCACACCACGGCGGGTCAATTCACAAAATGGCGATCCCCAGTGACGGCGATCACAGGGAGAATGCGTATGTTTCAACTGTGATTCTACAGCTAAATCCTGTCTTTTCTAAAAAATAAATGAAATCATCTTACATGAAATTTTATGGAGATTTCGACAGTATAAAGAAATTTCTGGGGTGGACTATCCCTTTAAGTACCTCTGGCACTCCTCCCACGCATCCATCTTCTGCCTTTGGACTCCCAAGCTACCTCTCCCGCCACTCCCAAACAAACAGGATGCATGGGAGCCCACAAAGCTACTTAAAGCTCCCACTTCGTATAGCTCTATAATTGAAAACAAAACCAACACAATAAATCAGTGGGAAAATTCATCATTTACAGTTAAAATCCAATCCAAAGAGTTTTTAAATGTAGTTATTCCTTTTTTTCCCCCCATTTTTTTTAAATATTTTTTTATAGGGGTTTAATGACGAAAAGAAAGCCCACAAAATAGTCTTGATATTTCAGACCCTTGTTCTGGCGGTCGTACATTCCTCCACTTCAAAAAGCCGTCTTCTGTACACATATGCTTCACAAGTTGTGCAGCGTCTCTTCCCCCTCTCCTTCATCCACATATGTAATTGTAAATAGAAATCTATGATATCTAAATATGAACAATCACAATTCGGTTACCTTAGCCCATAAGCTGTCAATTAAGGAGCTACTGTGGGCTGCCGTGCTTTCTGCATGAGCTACGACATAGTACTTTGGCTGTGTACTTTCACTGTGTAACATGTGGTTAGCAACACTTCTGCAAGCAATAGGGCTTAAATGTTCTCTTGCCTGCAACAATAAAGTGATCTTAAGGTAATTAAAGAACTTGACACAACGGTATGTTCATGTATAATTTGAAATTATGTTTAATGCAGAGCACACTGCTTGATAAAGAGTACGGTATTGAAAATGCAAATGAATACATAATAAGACTTGTTGCTTTAAAATCATAGAAATTGATAAAATTCTCCTCCTGTTACTCATTCAATATTTATCAATTTTTCTTGTTGAATCCTTTTGCATTTATTGGCACAACATTCCCTGCAATTAGTGAATGTTAGGAATGTATACAAACATGTGTGGCTGCCGTTTTCCTGATTAACGTTGGTAAGGGGCATCCCTTTGCGGCCATCATTAGCCCACATTTTCTTTAGGGGCTGTCCCGCGTTGTGCATCAGTCTGCCTGATCGTTCCACAAAAAACTTCATCCATCCTTGGTGACACCGATCATCTGCAAGAAAATCCTTCATTCTGTTCGCCATCGAGATCACTTGTTTGGCCACACAAGATCGTGCTATGATCGAACTGTGCTGGGGTCCACTCCCATTCTGTATGCAGAGCTGCCAACCATTCCGTTTTTGCCGGAATTACTGTTTTTTCTTCCAAATTATGGTATTACGTTTTTTCTTCATAAAATACGTTTTTTAATTTATTTATTTATTTTATTTATTTTTTATTTTTTACATACCGCACGTCAAACAACTGCCCTAAAATGGTGATTTGATCACAAATTAAATAGAAAACTAATTTTAAAACGTACTTGAAGAGAAAAATATTCTCAAAAAAAATGAAATGCTGATAAAGTACCAAAATAATCATCAAAAAAATTATCTGCTTGTACAGAAAAAACAGCATGATGAATGAACATTTCTGCATTGGAAGTGTGTCGCGCGTGGTTGTAAGTTTCGTTTTTATGAATTCCTTTTTTATGAATTCCTTTTTTTGGTCGCACAAGGTTGGCAGCTCTGCGTATGCTATAGTAGCAATCAAGATTCTCGCCTGTCGGAGTTGACATCTTTCTGATGATTTTTTCTTGAACGTCGTTCTTTGTGTTGGTGTGGTACATGTTGACAAAAACATGGTAGTCCTTTGGTAGCAGGGCCAGAAATGTAGTGTATCTAGTTCACTGCAGACTTTATGGGACTGACAGTAAATGATGGTCCTGTCACAGATGGGTCCTTTACACTTAACTTCACTGATGAAGGTGTCCAAAAATGTTGTTGTAATCCCTTGATGGAGACTTAAGCACAACATGCTGAATGCAACATGATGAGTCCTTAAAGGTTAAAACAAGGATCTTGAACTTGAGTCTAGCACAAGCAGGTAACCAGTGTAGTTTCTTCAGAATAGGGGAGATATGTTCACTTAACGAGATCTTGTAACGAGCCTTTTGGCAGATTTTGGATTCTTTGGATTCGGTCCAGTTGATTTTCAGGTAGCTTTTAGAGAGGAGCATTACAATTATCGATATGACACATTACGAGGCTATGAACTAGCTGTTTTGTCAGTTTCTCATCTAAATAACACCTGATTTGTCCTTTTTTATATCAGGAGAAGGAGGCTGCACAGCAAACCTTACTTACTTGATCAGTCAGTAATAAATGTTTGGCACATATAACACCTAAATTCAGAACGGTTTCTGATGGTTGTAAAACATGGCCTTCAAGCAATATTGAAGGGCCTTCAGTGTGGCGAAATTGTGAGGAAACATGACAAACTTGTGTTTGAGTGACAATAGGGGACAAAATGCTTTTTATTCTCAATCTGGGCCTTCTTTTGTAGGCTTCACTCTCGGCCTAGAAATTAGAGTCCATAATGAGGATGGTCAGAATTTCTCCCCATTTGTGATGGTAATTCCCTATGCCCACAAAAGATCTCCCAGATTGATAATGAATAGCCATTTGTCACTCACACACCTAGTACAAGCATAGAAATATGTATTCTAATTAGTGCTGTAACATCACGGATATCTCCAATTCCGTTTAACCGCCAGTCAAAACCGGACGGTTTTCGGTTAAACGATTTAAAAAAAAAAAAAAAAAAAAAAAAAAAAAAAAAAAATCGTTTTTTTTTTTTTTTTTTTTTTTTTTTTTTTACCGACTCTGTCGGCAACTTTCATTTAACTGCGAGGTGCATTTAAAGGGGCCGATTTGTGCTTGTGAACTTGTCACAAATAATAGTAACAATGTTGTTTTTAGAAGAATGTGTAAGATCATTAATATAAATTAAAAACAGTAGAGGACCTAGGACAGAACCTTGTGTAAAAGTTGGATGAATTATTATTATAAACTACATATTGAGATGATGAGATCTATTACAAAGATTACTTTCAAACCAAGATGACAGACAAATTGGAGTGTTGTTCTAGTTTTAGAGTGGTGAGTCAACACACAGATTACTGAGCTGGGAGACATTGCCAGGCATAGTGCCAGGTGGAGGGGCATAAATCGAAACTTAAAAAAAAAAAAAAATAAATAAAATAAAAATAAAAAAATAAAATAAAAAAATATTTAAAAAAAAA